ATTTAGTCCAAATAGAATTATCAGAAATAAAAATATTAAGAAAAAGAATAGAAAACTTAGAAGATATGCAAAGATATATTTTACAGAAAATAGAATTTTTGGAAATAAATAAAAAAGGAAAAAGTCCAGAAATTATCTCTGAATATATATATATATATATATGAAAATCTTATAATATAAATAATTGATTTTAAGTACAAATATGGAACTGAATAGTTCGGTTCCAATTCAAATATCAAATACATTATTAAAATTTCATAATGATATCGAGAGAATTAATTATATATTAGGCTATGTTTGATAACCAAAGATTTTCCATGAAACTTAGAAAATCAAGTTCATTTTTCAACTTTTGTAGTATTTGATAGGATTTATTTTTTCATGGAAAATATTTTCCAACTTTGAATGCCACCTAGACATTTTTCATGTAATTGAGGATAATGAATTCTCACCTAAACATATGGTGAGAATTCATTTTCCTAGTTACTGTAGCGATTTTTTTATTTTTTTTTTGTTTCGTTTTTTTATTTTTTTATTTTTTTGGCAGTGGAAACAAATTTTAAGAATTATTGTAAAAAATTATTTCTATTTAATTAACAATTTCCATGTAAAATAAAGTCAAACGAAAACCAAAAGATAGATGATTTTCTTTTTTTTTCTTTTTTCTTTTTTGACAATAGAAACAAATTAATTGGCATCGGTGCTTAGCGTATATTAAGTACCGATAACATAACACATAAATTAATTGGAGAATCATTAAATTCATGGGACCTAACATTAATATATTCACCAATCAATTGCTGTGCCATATCGTTAAGCATCGGAGCCCATTAAATTATTTTTCATATATATTCACTTTTTTGTCAAAAAAGAAAAAAGAATGCAAATTCATCATTAATGGATCGCTTTTGTTTTACTATTTTGACTACAAACACAGTATTTATTAAGTTGTTGTTTAATCTTTACATGTTTACGTAAAGGGGATTAAAGTTAGATTTTTAGTAGATTTTAATAAATTTTGTTGAAATGTGTGGTTGAAAAAATGTGGACCTAATGTGGTTGAAATTAATTGTTGACTTTGATTCAAAAATAAAATCTTGATATTAATCAATACCAAATATGGACTCAATTTCACAAGTTGGATTTACTACTTTACAAAAGCTCACACATTTGAAGAAAATAATGTTTTCACAATAATCGCATAAATAATATATGGGTGAATGAACGTTTACCCTACTTTTCATTTTGATGGAATGCTGCCAAAATTAGTCCACAAGGTTAAGGTTGATCATTATCCCCATGCACGAGAGAACTAAAGCAATATATATATATATATA